CACTTGCCCCCCTAGTGGTTTCGCTCATGTCCCAAGCGCGCAATCAGACTCACAAGATCCCTGTCTGATAAGCCCTTTTTTAGGTATCTCGAGAAGGAAAGTGGAGAGGATGGTCACGTGGTTAACAGGTCTGCATTTCTGCCAGGGCCTAGAATTGGAAGAGACGCTTGGATCGGCTTGCTACTCGATCGTCGCTGATATTCGTTTATGTGATGCATAATTCAGCCAATAAATATGAGAGAAAATATCCTCTTCCTTTCTGTCGCGGTGACGTACAAAATTGGAACCGATTAAGGCGTAGACAAACGATGTCATTCAGAATCCGATCAAGTTAAGCAATTTTGATGCCACCAAACTGAATATACACACACTTTACTAGGGTTTGGCAAGATAAACGTTCTGAGATATTGCATAGTAGGGGATATCAACGAAGCACCAGCATGGGGGAACGACAAATGGTAGGCATATCCACATCTTTGGACGCGAGGGTCATTACTTTTCATGAGAGAATTAATTATTTTTTCTTTTAATCAATCCCTGATCTTCGGGATGAATAGCAAGCAACCTCCTATGGAGGAAATTGTGGTAGAGGGTCGAAATTGAGAGGAAGACAAGCCAGGATTTCACAATATGAACCGAGCAGGGTATACGCGAACAGCAGTCGTGTGTATGTTGTCCGCTTGAACCTTAGTTGTCCCAGTGAGAGAAAGTGGGTGTGGTAGACGCCCGCTTGTCAGCATCACCGTAGGCAAAAGACGCCGAGGATATCCTCCATCACCATGCGGTAGGAATCATCGGCTACGGGGTCAAGACAAAGTATCGAGCCAAATCTCTGGGACCAACATTCCAAATTGACAGTACCGAAGAGCCGAGGGCCAAAACCGTTTATGAGCCAAAGGACCGTATGCTGGGAACGAGATGATTATCCGCATGACAACAACGATTTGCAGGTCACTAGGATGCGAATTGTGCCTGTCCCATCAGGATAGCATGAGAGTATCGTAATCGTCCCGCTGAGTCACTGTCAACCACAGTGCCCATTGAGCAATTTCTCTGCAACGAAACGTCGCCCGCTGTACAAGGCCATCAGCACCTAGAATGACAGAAGATTCGGATGCGGGATTCGTACCATCCTGGAGTCCCTTGAGCTTTCGCACCCCGACACCGCTTTCCGGGCAGACCACCTTCGCCAGATGTTAAGTGTAAGCTGCGAATGCGATTTGAAACTTACAAAAGAATGGCTTGTAGTCCAGGTGTCTATAGATACAGTTAAGAGCTGCTTCACTCTTTGCGTACTCCCTTTCGCAGTAAGTGCACATCCACCTTTGAGAGAGAATTACAAGGAAATCAAGGTCGCCTTCTTCGCCCGTTAGACTCTGGAGTGACCAGGCTTCGGTTTTGAAGAAATGGGAGACAATCGCTTTGCATTGTTGCCTCTTGGCCTCTTCCCGCAAATGATTAAAGGAATGAGTCACGAATCGTGCCTTCTGGTCCTCACGACTGGGCGAGATCCGGCTAGGCGGTGGGACTGGTTGCAAGGATGTATAAGATGCACGAAATTCTGATATTTTAAGGAAGAGACTCAAAGGTCAGCTTTAAGCTCGGGGAGAGGTGAAATGGGGACTGGGACAAAAGAAATTCCTATTGGGTGGCAAATGGATTGCGTACCTTCTGCGAAACACAGCAGCCACGAGGACAGATGGGTGCATTAGTAGACGCTCAAAATGATGGATCAACAGGTATCAAGTACCTTGCCAGAAAACAGAGTAGTCATCGGGGTTCCTGTCACCCATGGCTGTATCGGTAATTGCTTGTGGAGTTTGAGCACGAGTGGGGTTCGCTTTAGGTGCTTGCTGGAAAGGGATGGATTTCGACGTGTCTATTGGGGTCGGATAGTGTGCAAAAAGCTGGGGCTAGGAGAGTAAACTAGAGAGGACCGGTGCAAGCTGCGTGCGGATTTGTAATCGAACTTTTATAGTCAGCCTCTAGGAGTTGGCCTAGAAACTGTTATTGAGCTGGTTCAGCCTCCTCTTCTGCACTGAATTTCCGGAATTCGTTGTCTAAGACTACAGAGTCTGGCACCCTTTGCGCGCAAAAGGGGGATGATGGCAATGGTACACGCGTTCACCTCTCGTTACCCTCCAGATTTGCCTCATGGTCTCTTTTCGTCCCTATTCCGTGCTTCGAGCATTGATTGCAGTCTGAGCAAACCAGCCTGTCCTATGGGGGGGTGAGGCCAACGGAATTCGGCCTGGCAGGGAATATCAGCCCTGAGTTCATTCGTATTTCAGTACCACCGCATCATTGCGAGTTTGTGACGTGGAAAGGAGAGCTTTGGACAGCAAACGCTGTTTCATCATTTGCCGCACCGAAGACGATGATTTGCGGGGTGTACGGCCGTTCATGCCACTACCCCAGACGGCGGTAAAATATCATTATCCGTGTAAAATTTGATGGTCCCAGGTAATGAGCCTAGAGCAATGCCCCCAATAAACAGAAGTTTCCCGCAGAACCTTTCTCCCCTAGATCCAAAAGACTTCACCCATTCCTCTCGTACAGACAGTGGAACCAGTCGCACAGTCGCTTGAAGATAATGTAGTGAATATCGCAAAACTGCAGACCCAGACGGCCGAACACATCCAGACCCGGGTTCTAAGCGGCTTTAGTCAGTGAGTATGGCCCATGTGATGTTCTTTCCTTGGCCCCGACTTGAACCCGGACAGCATAGTACCAAAAAATGAGGATTATTCATAGCACAAATTCTAGATCCGCGTGCAGCTCCTTTTGAGACAGAAAGCCGAACTCCGGAAAAGGCGCAGCAGGATCGTCGCCCTCCTTGAGCACCACGCGAGATAATTAAGGAAACTCCCCCATGCGAACGTGATTCCTCCTATTGGGCGAATGAAAAAGCACGAGATAATTGAT